TCTTCATAGTACGATCGGCCATTTATAATCCCATAGATGTGGGTCTTGGTTGCCTAATTTCCAAAGTCTTGAAAACCAAAAAGGGCATCAAATTGATAGTTGCCCCAAGATCACAAAGAGCTTTTGCAAACTCGGCACTTCCAATTGTTCAAGGAACCGTGAAAGCGCCGGGATCTTCCAATTAGGAGCCATTAAATGCACAATTGCACTTACTTGATGAGTCATCTTTATTATTTCAAAATTCATCGACCTCTTCTTTGTCACCAAATCCTTCATAAACTTCGCATAGCTGGGCATTTTCTCCAAGACTTCAACCAATGGAACATTGATGGATAGACTCTTCATCATGTCAATGAACTTTCTGAATTGATTCTCACCATTTTTCTTGGCAAGCCTTTGGGGATATGGAGGAGGAGACCTAGGCATTGGTGCCTTAGCCTTTTGCACTATCGGTTCTGGTATGTCAACATTGTGATCCCTAGACGGGTTCACTTCCTTTTGAGTCTCCTCCACATTGTCATCAATCTCAATTCGCACTTCATCATTTGCTTGCACCACATTATCCAGGCTCTCATCTTCTTGTACCACTTGCTCATCATCCACAAGTTTTCTTTGATTTGAGGTGGGTGCATCCTCACCTTTTCCACTCCTTGTAGTAACGGCCATGGCATGCCCCGTGTTTCTCCCACCCTTTGGGTTCACCACCATGTCACTTGGTAGTGCTCCCTTAGGAAGAGTGTTGAGGGCTTGAGATATTTGGCCTATTTGGCCTTCCATGTTTCGAATGGATGTGTTGTGAGAGGCATGTTAGGCATCGGAGTCGGCATTATTCTCCATCATTTGTTTAAACATGTTCTCAATTCGTCCCATCTCATTGTTGGAAGATCTTGGACCATGGGAAGGATAAGGAGGCGGGTTGCTCGGTTGTTGATACATCGGGGGCCTTTGAAAACTTGACCCCCGATTGCCTTGATTATTGTTATATCCCCCTTGGTTGTTACCTCCCCAATATCCTTGTTTGTTGTCACTCCAATTGCCTTGGTTATTTCCACCATTCAAATTCCCTTAGTTGTTACCACCATTCCAATTACCTTGGTTATTAGAATTCCAATTACCTTGATTACCTTGAGGTCGCCATCGTTGTTGATTCAGGCCTTGAGAGTTGTTTCTTTGCCCTTGAAAGTTGTTCACGTATTGCACTTTCTTTTCTTGTTCATTGTAAGATTCATCTTGATCAAATCCACTATCTTCCTGCACATAATTCTCCACACGATTTTGCACTTTTGGACCCTTTTGCCTTATTTTGTTCACCATCAATTTAACACCCTCCGTGACATTGACTTGCTTAGGATTTTGCACTTGTTGAAGTTGAGCTTTGGCTAATTGATTCATTGTGGTGGTCAACTGGACAATGGCTTGCCCGTGATCATGCAATTCTTTATGTAGGTGAATCACGTTCGGATCACCTTGAGGAACATTTGCTCTACTTTGCCATGCCGATGAAGTATCCGCCATTTCATCTAGGATCTCACAAGCTTCCGCATATGGCATTGTCATGAAATTTCCACCGGCAAGTTGGTTGACCATGAATTGATTGGTAGTGTTGATCCCCCGATAGAAAGTTTGTTGAATCATAGCCTCCGTCATGTCATTATTGGGGCACTCTTTGACCGTTGATCAGTACCTCTCCCATATTTCGTGCAATGGCTCATCGGATTCTTATTTGAAGCTAGAATCTCGTCCCTAAGAGTAGTCATATGCCCTAGAGAAAAGAACTTGGAAATAAATTTCTCCGCCAATTCATCCCGTGTGTGGATGGAATGGTTTGGCAATCTTTCTAGCCAATCCAAGTCTTTCCTCCGTAGAGAAAAAGGAAATAGCCTCAACCTTAAAGCATTCTCGGAGACGTTTGTCTGTTTACTCCCCCAACAAGTGTCCACAAACCCCTACAAGTATTTGTATGCATTTTGACTCGGAGCCCTGGTGAAAAATCATCGTTGATCTAACAATGTGAGCATTACATTCGTGATTTGAAAGTTGCCCACCCTAATGCTTGGCAAGACAATAGCACTTGCATACCCTTCATTCGGCGACACCCGGTGTAGAGCCTCTCTCGGTGGAGTTGGGGGTGGAACTGGGACGTTTTTTTTAGGCGGTCGGCCTCGTCTATTTGCTTGAGGTTCAAGAGGAACCTCTTCAACTTGGTCATCTTCCACGTCTACATCCCCCATAGGCATGTTTCCGAGTGGATCATTGTCGTTAAGAGCCATTGTTGCACCTACAATCGTTTCACCAAAAAGATTAGTAACACCGAAAGAAAAGAAAACAATTCACACACAAAACCAAATATATAGCTAAATCCGTTTTAACCTCCCCGGCAACGACGGCAAAAAATGATCTCGTCCAAGTCACACCTCTATTTGAGGTTATGAAATGGTCGATGCAATAGTAATACCCAACAGCGAGTCTGGGTCGAATTCCACAGGGAGCTATATAAATGGGATTTAGAGATATATATTATGGTGAATGAGCTTGAACTATCTTAAGTTACACTTCCACAAAATTTATTGATTCTTTGTCTAGTTTAAACTAAGATTGCAAGATAATTAATTTAAACTAAGAAATTGTTTTTGTTGTTATTTTCAAATAATGTAAAAGGCCTAGGGCTATGACATTCACCTAGGTGTTTGCCTAACGGTTTGTAAACTTTAAAACTTGTTTTGTTGGTCGAGGTGTATTATAGCTATCAACACTCAAGTACCCACTCAATACCTCTCGGTAAGAGAGTGATTTTGCCCTGGCTTTCTCAAGTCCAAATGGATATTGAACAAAACAATTGATAAAATGCTCAAGTCGGGTTTTACTATCTCTAGGTTCAACCCTTTAATTGGGACTATCAATATCTTGATTTTGTCCCAAATTCTTGTTAGCCAAGTTTTCCTAGACTAAGTCTCTCTTTCTCAAGTAGAAACCAAGTAAAATAGGCATGAACTAATGTTTGCAACCATTAATTCTACAATTAAAAGCAAGAACAAGGCTAAATAATAAATACCCAACCATAAACAAGCCATAAATCAAACACCCATTAGGTTTACATTATAGGGTTGGGTCACAACCCTAGTGAGAATCTAGCTACTCATAGTTGGTATAGAAGAAAATAAAGAAGAAAAGATGATAAAACTCATATTGCAAGATAAAAATATAAAAACCCAATGTTAAACCACCAAAATAAACTAAAATTGCCTAAAGAAGCAAGGAAAAACGGATATAGCACTTTTGATATTCAAAACTTGTCCTAATTTTGTGAAACTATTCTATTTATACAAACCTGGAATTTTCGGACAAAAATGCCCTTTCGGAGGTTCTGCTGCCGCACAATTTCATGTGAGGTCCGCACTTTGCTTCAGTCTTTACAGGAGTTGAATCTATGGCCGCACAATACTAAACCGCTACCGCAACTCTCACATTATGCGGTCCGCACATTTCTTAGTGTGGCCGCATAGGGCTCTTCTGCAGACCATATATTTCTGAGTGCGGCCACGTAGCTAACTTCTGCGGCCGCACAATAATTGTGTGCGGTCCGCACATTTCTTAGTGCGGCCGCGTAGGGCTCTTCTGCGGACCACATATTTCTGAGTTCGGCCACGTAGCTGACTTCTGCGGCCGCACAATAATTGTGCGGTCCGCACTTCCTTTTAACTCAATATGCACACTGTCTGAGCTTCTTATCTTGCTTAGCTTCAGCGGCCGCACATTTCATTGTGCGGTCCGCATCTGAGCTTTTGTGCCCGATTTTGTCTTTGAGTTCAGATTACTCCTTCTTGAGTTGGATTTCATCTTAGTGGCTCATTTTCCAATACTCCTCCAATTAAGCATATTTCATCAGTTCTCGGAAATACAATTAAACACTTTTGGACTAAAACGAAAGCAAAAAGGCGCCAACAAGTAGTCAAAATCCCCATTATCATGCAACAACAACCATATAGCATTGCAACAGGCAGATAGAAGAGAGTACAAACGTAGTTGATGGGAATCTTCTTGGATATACAAATCCTGTGGGATTTGCTTTGGTAGTTGCAGAGAGCGTTGATGCGTTTGAGTGTTATAGCTATCCAGAAGCTATTCAGAGTACATAACCAAATTGACGGATTAGTGCTATGGCTGAAGAGATTGAGTCTCTTAACAAGTTTAGGCATCGCCTAGACTTGGTTGATGTGTGTGACAATGGGTAGAGCCCTTGCAAGGGCTGAGGGCAAGGTAGAGAGACGTTGTTCCTGTTAATGAAGAGAATTCAAGCCAAGGGGAAGATTTGTTATTTTGCGGCTTGAATTATTTTCTTATATATTTTAGAGACCCATAATCCCTATAGGTTTATGAAAACCCATTGTCCTAATAGATTTGGGAAAAGAAAACATATAATCCTCGTCAAATTGGGAAACCTTTCTCTTATAGGTTTGGGACTATTTGGGATCTATATATATGGGTTGTAGTTGGGGATTCTATAGATTGTATTGTGCGTTTCTTCTCATTCATAGTGGAAAACTCTCTTTGCTTCTGCCCCAAGGATTAGGCTTAGCCGAACCTCGTAAAGTCCTTGTGTTGATTTTTCTTCTCTATTAGCTTTGTGTGTGATTGTGTGCTAGTTAATCCACGATCTTCCGCAACAAGTATAATTCTACAAGAAAAAGTTAGGTCTGCAGAGGATATAGTGTGTACGCATCTGACCCATCTTGCAAAGATACAGAGGCTGTTTCCGATAGATGCTTGGCTCAAGCAAAGACACAATGAATTTGCCTTTCTGCATCTGGCAGGGGAAAATCAAATTCTAATATTTTCAGCACGATAGCACATCAATATAATTACCTTATCTGTTAATTTATTTTCAAAATCCAGATTTAATTAAATTCATTCTAGAATTTTGTCAAATTGACCCCAAGAGATGAAATAAAACCAAGTACTCCATAACAATTGTATTAGTCAAGCACTTGCTCACTAATCCATAGCAATTAAACTTCTTTATATTCATTCTTTTCTCCTGTCATAAATTGAAATGATAAGAAGATAATATCATGATAAAAAAAAAATGTGAGTATATACAAATTAGTAGAACAAAATTAAGGTTTAAAAATAATTATCATATATATAAGTATCTCAATTGCTTGAACTACCTAACCTAAAGTTTATTAAACGATCTTTCACCAGTGCTATCTTTCTCAAAAATGCGATCAAACGGAAACTTAACAGTCTTAAACAAATTCTTGTTAACCGCCATTAAATCATCACCTGCTCCTCCACTATCCTTAGACGACCGGGTTGAACCGCCTCTCGAAAAGAACGGAGGCACATTCATAAACCCCCACCGGTCCTCCCGGCCTTCCTCATTAAACCGCTCATAATTACCATGATTAATCGGTGCTGAACCGGTTCCCACACTACTACTTCTGTACCCATTTCTCACACTTCTTTCTCTTGGAAACAAGGGGTTACCTTGTTCCCGGCTCAAACCGGAGTTGATCAACTTGTTACGAACCTCCTCTGGTAATCTTAACGTAAACCGTTCACAATCCTGACCGGGTTGAATCAGTGAGTGACCGGTGGAGTGAGACCTCGGAAATTTTCCTACAATTTTCTCTCGTTTTGGCGTTGACCTTGGTGGACGATTGTGTACAGGCGTTTGTACTATGTTTATTATTTCAGGAGATGCAACATTTATATCAATCACCGAGTCATTTACTTCACGAACCGGGTTACTAAATTCCGGGTCGGGTGACTCGGAATTTATTGTGTAATGACCAAGAACTGTGATATTCTCATCACCGGGTTTGGGGAGTAAATTAGCACGACAAACAGGACAAGTGATGTGGGTAATCAGCCAAGCGTCAATACAATCAGGGTGAAACACGTGGCAGCATTTAGGAAGAAGTCGAAGAGTTTCATCATCTTCAAACTCATTTAAGCAAACTGCACATTCTAATACTGATTTACCAATTTTGAGATCCTTAATATCAGAGTAAAGGAACATAGGAAAAGAGTCAATGACATTTGGGTCTATACCACGGCCTGCCCCACGGCGAGAATTTTCATCTAAGTGTACGAAGTCGTTGGCAAAGCGGCGCTCGGCGCATTGACGTACGTAAACTGAAACAATTCCCATAGCAAAAAAGACACTGATAAGTGTAACAAGAATTATAGCCATAGGTGGATTGATTTTGATATTTCTGTCAAATGAATATGGTGGTGTTGGTGCTGTTTCTGCAGTTTGTGCAGTGGCACAAGCTATGAGTATAAGAAGACTGAGGAAAATGATACAGAAGCCACATTGGCTCAGCTCTTTTATTTTCTTCATCTAAGTATAATGAAAGAACAAAAAAATTAGAAGAATGATAGACAAGTAATCTTCATTCTTTGGTAATAAAGAAGTAGGGTGCACGAGCTGGTATAGTGAGCCAGCTAAGAGGAGCTTGATTACAGATTATTTCAGTGCCGAATATGGAGCGAAGAATATATAAGGCAGAGGTGTTTGAGTTAAGGACGTGGGGTTGGGAGATTTCGTTTGTTTTAAGGGAGATGGAGATGATGATTGGTTTTGACTAAGTTGAGTGAGTTGGTGGTGAAATAAACTCAATTTAATGTTAAGTTGTACCCCTCGTCCACTTTAATTGATGTTTTGGTTATTTTCACACATATTAAGGTGATTCATTTTTTAACCTTAATTAATAACGGAATTGGTCATATTAATTTTAATTTGTTCATATAAAATACAATAAATACTTTTAGGTTTTTTATTCCAAGGGCAACTTTGAAAAAAAAAAAGTTAATTTCTTCTTGACATCTGAAAAAATCATATATTATGGACCGCAAAAAAAAAGGAGAGGTCTAAATCAATTAAAGTGGACCGAAGGAGTACTTACTAAAAATATATAAAAAAAAAATTATACTGTCAGACTAAGCTGAGTTGTGATAACACATAATTTTTTATTAGCAAACATAATATGATAAAATAAGTAAGTAATAATCTATTATAATCGATTAAATTATACTTATAGTATAAGAAATTGTTACACTATCTATGTATATAGCTTAAATGTAAAATTGTACTTACAACAGAAGCGTTATCCATTTGTGGTCTCCCTATGCTTTGTGATTTTATCTTAATTAGTTAGATGTTGACAATGAAGGAAAAGAGAAATAGAATAATTGGTTGTGGCACTCATGTTCCTACTAATTAGGTAGAACTAATCATTAAACCACTCAAAGATTAAAAAAGA